GGTGGGGTGGGGTGGGGTGGGGATTATGTTTCCTGTACCTGCCTCGTATCCGTTTCAGGGCAATGATCCCATCCCTGCCCCGTTTACTCGGTTATGCGAGTAATCTTCGCCCCATTCAGGACGGGCCCCCATGTATATAGGGTTGGATGAATTTTTTTGTCATCCGTACCATGTGACATGATATAAAGAATAATGTGAAAAAGAGTGTACATGTAGCATGATTATTTTACGAATTAACTTTGTAAAGAGGTCATTTAACCCAACACCCACTAAGCAATAAAGTTTGTTGTACAGGGACACCACTTGGTAGCACAACCAGCAAAGCCCATCCACTAAGATAATTCATTTAAATTCAATCAATGCATCGCCTTTTCCCTATGCAGAACAATCTGGTGAAATTCTGGCAGCTCTACTTCTGTATAACAGAGAAATCCAACAAGAAACTAATCTCGATAGGTTCTTTATGCATTGGCTCCCACATTCTCCGGTTACCAAATCTGGGTTTTTTTTTTCATTTACCCCAATAGACTCTTGCAGTATCATGATCAGCACTAGAAATTTGTTCAAATTCCCGTTAATAGTTTTTGGTCATTTTGCTAATGGGTTTTGTCTACAAACAGACACCATTAACGCCGGTGTAGTGCTTAAAGATTCTGATACTATAATTTCCTTTGGCGAGATTTTCACCTTGGGATTTTTCAGCCCCAATGGCACTACTCGACGTTACTTGGGCATATGGTACAAAGTTTCTAAAGATACAGTTGCTTGGGTTGCTAATCGAGATAGGCCTCTCAGTGATTCATCTGGGATCTTTTCGATATCCACAGATGGAAATCTTATAATCATGAATGGAAATAGAGATATTATTAAGTCATCAAATGTTACATAAAATTGTTGGGAACACTTCACTATGAGAGGAAATGGAGAAGATATCAAATTAAATCCAACAAAACCATTAATAAAATCACGATCTAACTTTTAATTCATGAAATGATAATAAACAAAAGAAGAAGATAAACTTATCTTATGTTTCCACTTGAATGTAATCGCCTTCCCTTGAAGAGTTTGGAAAAACTGGAATCAAATGATCAACATCATACCAAAGAACCAAAATCAAATAATCAACATCTTCAAAGAACCAGAATCAATGAGGCTCCAACAAGATATCGCTGTCCTCAAATGATATTTGCCCCATCTCCAAGACAATTTGGTGCTTAAAGGGTTGCTTGGCAAATGGTTTGAAGGATTAATCAAGCGTTGTAGAGAATTCGACACTTAAGCATTGGTGTGATTCTCCAAATCTTCAAGAGCACGAAGGGAAATTTGAATATGGATGAAGAAAGAATTGATTTCTTTCTTTATGGAAGGAATGATAATAATCACAATGTTTTCTATATGATTTCCATTATTTTTGCCTCCAAAATGACTACCTATATATAGATCTTGGTCACAACACACGAAGTGGTGCCAAAACATAAGCAAAAAGCCACCAAATTTCAACTGCCAACGGTAGAAAACTGCCCCAAAGGTCACAGGTTTTCTACTATGCAACCGCATAGTAGAAACCTATGCGGTCGCATAGAAGGGAGTTTTGGCCTCCATTTTCACTTTCATTCCCACTTCATTCCACACTTATTTTTATTGATTTTGAATTTGAATTTGAACAACATTTTTCAACAATCCCACACTTGTTCAAAATTCAATAAAATATCATATTCAACATATGAAATACTCATGCATAATGATTAGATATCTTTTGATTTGAATCTAACCATAGTTTAATTAAAACAAAGTAAAGTTGGAATTAAAGGTAGTATGAAAACTTTGAACCAATGATTCCATATGACAATACATGTATGAACACAAACACAAGTATTACGTGTTCTCAAGTTCCTCAATTCGCTTAGCACTAATATGGCCTTGTGCTCATCCCTTTCAACAAACTTTTAAGAGAGAAACTCTAGCTCTCTATTGAGGCGGCACC